GAGCCCTCCCAGGGGAGCCCCTGGTGCAGGCAGGGCCAGCACAGCACTGGGGTCCAGCTCTGCCTGTGAGGCTTGGAAGGGCTGGAGAGACATCCAGGGAGGGACAGGCAGGGGACGAGGGGGCTGAGCTGGCCCTGGTTGTGTCCCACACAGACAGAACTTTGCACTACCCCCCTCCCCAAGAGCAGCTGAGCTCCTGCATGGAGCCCACTCCAGTGCCAGCTGGGACTCCTGGATGGAGCCCACTCCAGTGCCAGCTGGGACTCCTGGATGGAGCCCACTCCGGTACCAGCTGGGACTCCTGGCTTTCTCTGGGGAGGTAAAAGTCAATGAGAAGTTGGTCCCTGTACACTGCCCACCTTCCCTCAGAGCTGTTCAGCTGCCTCTGGCACGAGTGCAGGTTCACCCTGCATGGGGCTGGATCGCTGCTCCAGGAGGCAGAGCTGCTCCAGCCTGGCCCTGTCCCAGGCATTGCTCTCCCTGCAGCCCACAGACACCAGCACTGCTGGGTCCAGATCCATGGCAAAGGTATGGCCAGGACAGGTGTGGTCCCTGCCCAGGAAAAGAATGGCTGAGACCATTCTCTGAGCAAGGAAATGCATTCAGCCCAAACCAGGAATGGGGGAAGCAGCAGATAAAGCAGAAGGATGCTGGCAAGTCCAACTCATTCCCTGCACTCTCTGGTCCCTGGCTCCTGCAGCCCTCTCCACTTGTACCCCGGACCTGCAGCTCTGGGACCCAGCCAGGCTGTCCTCAGCTCAACAGAGACCTGGCAAGGGACGAGCTCAGGCCCCAGAGCCTCCTGTCCTGCCACACACCAGGCTCCCAGGGCTCCCTCAGCTCCAACAGCAGGTTCTGCAGCCCCACAGGTCAGCAGCAAGGCTTGTCTGATGGGAGCCACAGCAGAACGTGTGGCTGGCCACACTGGCACTGGAGAAACCTTGGGGACAGGCTGCTGAGGACACCTCCCACCACCCTTCAGGGCCATGCACGCTGGTTTATAAAAGGCAGCAAATCACTCCCCCAGGGCCTCTGCAGGCAGCTCAGAGCCTGTGAGCTCCCACCCAGGCACTGCTCTGAGCTCACACAGACCCCACAGAGCCCAGTGAGCGCCTTCCCCGCCCCGTGGCTCCCAGGCAGGCGAGACCCTGGCCCTCACCTGGTACAGGAACCTCTGGCTGAAGTGCTGCATGGCCCCTTGCAGCTGGTTGCGCTGCGACTGCCACTGCTCGTAGTTGCGGACGTACTCGGCCGTGGGGCGCTGCCACGTGGTGGTGCGGGTGTTGTGGTCCACGTAGTAGTACCTGCCCCGAGGATCCACGCGCTTCTCCCACCTGGAAGCACCAAGGAATTGTCACTGTGGGGCTCACGCCGCTCAGTCCTGCCACCCTCCGACACGAGGGCTCCGTGCCCACCTCCACAACCACTGCTCTCACACCTAAAGGGGCTCTTCTGGACCAGGACCCACCAAAAGGAAACACACAGCATGAGTAACTGCTCCAGTGGCTCCTGCAAGGGCACACGAAGCCTGGCAGGATGCTGGGACACAGCGGAGCTCCCACCAGGATGCCATGAACGCCTCTCTGAGACAGTGACTGAGCCAAGGCCTGGAGCCCCCAGCCCCTTACCCTGGAGGAAGGGGTCTCTCCCACGTCGTGGTCTTGTTGTTGTGGTCTACATAGTAGACTCTGCCATTCGGCAGCTCCCGCTGCTCCCACCTGCAAGGACAACAAACTCATGAGGCAGAGGGCACTGCTGGCACCAAGAACATCCAACAGCTGGGTCAGGGAGCCCAGCCCCTCACATCTGATCCAGCCTTTATCTGACAGCTCTGCACGGCACATTCTCCTGGATGGAGACTGGGAGAGGGGCTGCAGCACTCTGCTTCCTCAACAGGCATAACTGGAGCATAAATTCCTAATTTCCCCCAGAAAGGCCAGCACAGCATTTCACAGAGGGTCAGTTTTATGCCCTGCGTTTCTGTTGTTTTTGTTTGGTTTCTCTTAATACATCTTCAAAGGGAGTGTTTGAGCTGGGGCTGGGATCCCTCCCTGCAGCCCTGGGCTTGCTGCTGACAGCCACAGCTTAAACACACGTGTGGCCATGGGCTGGGGTGGCCCTGAGGACCTTCACAGGGCCACGCTGCAGCCATTCTTTGTGTGAATTCATTCATGAACTCTCCCTGGCAAAGGTGAATGCTCTGTGCTGCCCGTGCTTTCTTGTCAGCTTTTATCCTGCAGCAGAGGAGGCGAGCCAGCAGCTGCTGACAGATAAAGTGTTCTCCTGCCACACTTGTGCTCCCACAGGCTCTCTCCCATTCAATCATCTGTCTCAATTAATCACTACAAAAAGCTCGAGGAAATTAATACACCAGCTTCTGTGTGGCAGCAGGGGAGCCAGCCCAGGCTGGCAGGCAGCAGGCAGCCCTGGGGATGGAGCTGCTCTGAGTGCTGGTGCCCCACAGCCTGGGCTCATCCCAGCTCAGCCCCACAGCCAGGGACAGCAGTGCCATCACCATGGACAGGACAGCAATGTCATCACCACAGCCAGGGACAGCAGTGCCATCACCACAGCCAGGGACAGCAGTGCCATCACCACAGACAGGACAGCAATGCCATCACCATGGACAGGACAGCAATGTCATCATCACAGCCAGGGACAGCAATGCCATCACCATGGACAGGACAGCAATGCCATCACCACAGCTCCAGGGACAGCAATGCCATCACCACAGCCAGGGAC